TGTTCAGGTGTCAGATTCTCACATATTCATGGGAGGACACGAGCCGCTCTCTCTTGCTTTTGTTTTTTGTTTTTCCCCTTTTGTTTTTTCGTTTTTCCATAAAAGTCTCCAGCGTGAAATTTTTTCCTTCGCTTTGAGTTTTTCCCCTCCTTAGGGTACGCCCAGTAGGGTATTGCATGACCCATTGCACTTTTTTTTTTTGTTTTGGGGCAGAAGCCGCAGAACACTTTTTTTTTTTTTTTTTGCTCCGCATCGGGTGCGGTGCGCGAGGTGCACCAGACGTGCGCTAAGGTGCGCACCTCAATGCGCCAGAACTATGGAATAGACACTATTCTTGCCATGGTTCTTCATCATGTCTTAATGATGGCACCTGCCTTCCCATGTTTTGAAGCAATGCTTGGAAATATGGGCAGCAAGGGAATTGATGGCAAAAGGAATGCTGCAGCTGGATGTAAACGGGTTTTTCTTCTCTCAGTCTAGCATATGTGGATACGTTGATGTCACTGCAGCCAAACATTTTGTTTTGGTCTTTGTATGCCAGGGAAAGGTAGATGTGGGGTGTAACTCTCGTTACAGTGGGAGTGGCCTGGTGGATGATGTTAGACAAAAGGTTTATCTTTGCTGATTGATGCAAAATGTATCTTGATATGACTCCAGTCTCCGTGCAGGTCGACCACTGAATGAGATAGAGAAGTTCACAATTAAGGACTGGATATCAAAACGTTCCATTTACGGGATCCAGTTTGTGTTTATGAAAGAGAAAACATCTGTCATCAGGCTCGATACCAACTGCACAACAGCAATTTTGGAATTGAGGACGATTGTGGGATTAATGAAGCCCTTGAATGTCACCTGTGGCACTGTTGGTTCGGGGCTTGCCCAATCCCTTTGGTATACGATTGACTCACGCTGGAGTCATTTGTACCCAAGCGACTCTCGGGTCGAGGCCTTCCTAATGGATCTGGAGAATCCCGGGCAACCGGCTCCAACCGCATTGAGCAGTGATGTGGAGTTTGAGCGAGTGCAGGAGTTCAGGACAGGTGTTGTTGGGTCATTTGAACTGTACTTGGAAGGAAGCGATGATGAGAGCAAAACACAAATCCTGCGGGCAGATGTTGGCAAATTTACAATGCGCATGGCAATTGCGAGGATGACAGGGCTGGATGAGTTGTTAGTTGACAAGGAATCGATCTACGAGGGGGACATGATTTTGCACCGATGGAATGTTACATTCCCTTTTCTGTATTTTGATATGCCTCTGCTTGTCCCAGAGATCATTGCGATTGCGGGTGAGAATGTATCATTTGACCCAACCATCCGCATGGCCAATCGTTCTGAACCACTGGGAGGCACTTTCACAATTGCATATGGAACCAGTAGTCCTATCACACTTCCATTTAATGCAACAGCTCCCCAGATGAAGGCTGCTTTGGAATCATTTCTTGGCGTTGGGAAACTGAAGGTGGAGCGGACAACTGTGGGCCGACCACAGTACCAAGTTGCCTGGGCTGTAAAATTTGTGGATGACACCTTGCCGGAAAGTCCCCTGCTTTTTGCTGTTGATGGTGCCCTGTTGAATGGAACTGATGCGAATGTGGTGGTAAACCAGACAGTGAAAGGTTCTTATGACCGCTTTATTGCACCGATTACAGCTGAATACCTCCGAGTACCAGTCACGTTCCCAATGCGTGTTGATGTCGTCGTCAACAACATTTCGGCTGTGTGCAGGTCAGGATTTTCATATTGTTTCTGATTCTTGATTTTTTGTGACGGTTGTTTGGTCTGAATGGACCGTTTCCTCCATCCCCTCTGATTGACAGACCTGACCCCATATACCCTCCTTATGAAGGCAAATCGTCAAAGAACTTAAAAAAAGCAAACAAAAAAAACACACTGCAAGTCCTCTGCTTGCATGACTAGGTACATTCAGGTGTAACTTGCACCAAATGCTATCCAGCCGGCCATTCGGCTGTGCATCTAGCAGGCCACAAGTTTTGGGTATCTGGGGCTGAACAGGTGTCCTCCAAGGGCAAGGTGCACTTGCCTGGAGTCTCCATTTCTGGCTGTTGATTGCCGAAATGAAACGTAAATGGACGGGCGCAGCGTTGACTGTTACCGCCACGAAGCGGTGGCCTATTTAATTTCATGTGGTGATCACGGGGGGCATGCAACCCGTGCCGCTGGCCCAGCGGAAACATCCAGGAGGCACGCAGTGTTGGCCCGTCTGGTCGTGTTATGCAGAAACCAATGGCCACAAATGAATAATCTGGGCAAGTAAGTGGGACGTCACCATGGATGGACCGGATGTCAGGTTCAGATTCACTCAGAGTGAGCAAAGTTGTATTTTCTACAACTTCGCAGAAGAAGTCAAAATTAGCAGGGAGAAAATTACGTTCTGTAGAAAGCTACTAGAAATGCTGTGTGCCTTACACTGCATATACAAAACAACTTTTCGCTGAGCGTCAGTTCAAAATTCCTTATCAAATTGAGGATTAAAAAAATCAAAGTAAAGCGAAAACAAAACAAGAAAAATCCATGCTCAACCTCCAAACCCCCTTTGTAGTAGTTTGTAGTAACTTTGTACCCCCTCAGAGCCTTGTTCAACCCCTTCAGCCCCATTGCAATACCAGGGTCACAAAATGTCTCCACAGTCTTCTGCGTTGCCTGGATTTCTAGACAGGTTGGTAATCTAGATGTCCAGTTGCATCCACACGTGAGCTCCTGGGCTATTTGAACCACTAGTACCTTTGCCAGCCATTTTTTCCAACATGGCTGTGTACGCGCCACAAATTCCGGAGTCGGCGTACTGGAGCGAAATGGCTGGCGGCACCTGCCAAAGGACAGGACGCGCCCGCCACCCGTTCATTTTTTTTTGGACACAGGGCGTTTCCGGCCTCGGCAGGGGAAGTGTCAGAAGTACTGGTGGTTTAAACCTCTTCCACTTGTCTGATCCTTTGGGGTAATGATGGTCATCAATGTATCGATTATGCATACTGTTTGTTTTCTATTTCATCAAAAGAAACGTGGAAGTAACTATGTAACCACTTTGTAAGTATTACACACCGTGCTGTAACGACGGCACTATGCATAGTAAGTTAAAGAAGTTTAATAAACCTATTTCTACTTCTGTAATTTAAACAGGACCAGGGTAACCGGCGTTCGGGACGGGTCGAACACCCACCCGAACGCCCGAACGTACGGGACCCCGTGGGGATGTGTCGGGCCGTTCGGGCCGAACGCGGACCTAAAAAAAAAAAAAAAAAAAAAAAAAAATTCAAATTTCAAACAAATCTGAAAAACAAATATTTTGCTATGCTGGTTCCCAGGCGGCCCGGCTGGGGGAAGGTATCCTCCCAGGCAGCCCGGGCCAGGCAGTGGCCGGGCAGGGTCCCGGGCAGCCCCAGTGCACAATATTAGAAAACATTAAAAAATTAAGAATTTCAAAAAAATCTTTAAAACCTGGGTTAGGCCGACGCCCGGCCCAGACGGACCGGGCCAGACGGACGGGGGGGGGGTCCGTCTGGCAAAACCAGACGAGCCAAAAAACATCCCAGGATTTTTTTTTCTTTTTTTTTTGAAGATGGGGTTGGAGTGCGCTCGCTGAGAGGAGCCCGAATCCGCAGAGAAACTTGTGAAAGTCATGTGTCGGGGGGG